TTGGTGGTTTTTGTTTCCTGGTAACAAGATTGTGAATGATGATCGGACGAACTGGGAGGAATCCGCCGTAGCCAGTTTTTAGATGTGATCTGTGAATTCTGGAGGAGGCATGAACAGCGCAGCGATCGACCTTGTCCACAGTTCAGCCAAGAGACCAATTTGGCGTGATTTTATGAGTATCAACCTCATTCTGTTCTCGCTTTCTCCGATTTATTTATTGCATCGTTCTCTCTTCTTTTCTTTTCCTTGTTCGTTTGGTTATTTCTCTCTTTTTAACAAGGCTTTGCGAAATTGTATTTTCTTCTGGTTAGAATAAATTATTAAATTAACTCAGGACAAACCATGCTGACAGGAAAATTTTGATCTAAATACAGATTGCCAGGCATTTCGGTGGACAATAACGCCAAGGTCAGTCTTCCATAAGCAACAGCTACTGCCAGGAGACTTAGACGGTACGTTTCATAGAAAGCGCACGCAGCCTTTTGTTTCCTGTAGAATCTCTCCATCAAAGATTCAGGTAGCGCGTAAGAAACAATGGTGGCGACTCATGAAACGTAGTGTGGAAGTAGCACCTCGTTCGTATGAGAGCGACCTTGCTGAGCAATGAATTACAAAACGACACGAACACCCATGATTGAAACAGTGTTACAGAACGCATTGTACCTCTGCAGAGTACCCCCTTCCTCCCGCAGCAGCTGTGTTTCCATTGCTGAACAAAATCTTAATAAGCATCCTGTTGTTTGAGGATCATACGCATTGTAAGAAGGGTGAGGCCAGTGGGGTCCTTCAGTGGGCAAAGTGACGCGCACTTCTGCATAGCCTGACCTTCACTGAGAGAATCAACACGTATGACGTTTATTTCTTTACATCGTCTCCCATCACTGAGTCTTTTATATATTAAGTCCTGAGTCGAGAGCTACTCATTGTACCATTGTGTATTTTGTGTAGACGTCGTTGAATATCGCGTTTTCAACCATAAAACAGTTATATGTATCAGTATGGTCCTATATTTGAAGCTAGCGCCAAGCATAACTGTCCTCTTCAAAATATTTGCATGTAACATGTCAAAAGAATATAAATATGCATTGTCAAGCTGTCTGTGCGCATCTAACATAGTTCATACAGTTGTGATTGTTTATTGTCACGGAAATCAATATATCAATCTAAATCAGTGTCCATCGCCTGGTAATCCACAGAAATTGAGATGGCCGTAAGATATTCAAGTTAGCGTTTGGTGTATAGCCGATGTAAGGTGTTTTATTGTAACTAAAAAAAATTCGTTCCAAAACCTTCTGTTGTTGTTGTTGTTGTTGTTGTTATTATTATTATTATTATTATTATTACTCATTATTATTATTATTATTAGTAGTAGTAGTAGTAGTAGTATTAGTAGTAGTAGTAGTAGTAGTAGTATTAGTAGTAGTACTGGGGTGAGACTTGAGTCCACTTGGTACTGCAGCCACTACTGGCCTATTGTACCAGCACCAGATGATAGACAATGATGGTTGTAGAGCAATTGGTGGAATGAAGATTTGTAAGGGAAACCGAAGTACTCGGAGAAAACCTTCCCCAATGCCACTTTGTCCACCACAAATCCCACATGACGAGACCTGGGCTGCCACAGTGAGAAGCCAGCTACTAACTGCCTGAGCTATGGCACAGCCTGTTTTACAACTAACTACCTCTTTTGTTTTTCTGCCCCTTTTAGCAACTAAATAGGTCATGTTTGGTATTGCTGTGCAAATTTTGCATAATGACATTATAAACTAGCTGTAAAATCTTGTAGGGAATATTTATTCATTACTGTGCTGTCCCATAGTGTGCATAAAATTTTAAAATCATGAAAAAATAAAATTTTTTGCAGTTTTGATGTGCCATCATCCTCTGAACGGCTTATCATAGAATTTGGGAACATAATATTAATATAAGGGATGAATTAAAGAGAGATAATGATAATTAACCCCATGAGGAGTGCCATCTTATCTTGGAGAGGAGATTTGTATGCCCCAGTGTCCTGGAGAGTTATGCTGGGGGGCATAAGCTCCCGGTAGGGCCACTCATGCCAGACAAGTCAAAGAGTAGAGGCCAGATGAAGTGTAGTCTCTGGTCCTCCAGGTTGAAGGTTGGGTGTGGGACTAATGACCCAGTCTTGGAGAAATTTACTGTTACAAAACCATAGAGTGGGGCCAAGAATCCACACAGGGTTGTAGCACCAGTAAGAAGAGGAGGAAGCAGAAGGATGAGGAGGATGAAGAGTAGTTAAAACTACGTTATGCATCAGAACCAAATTTCTTTGCACAAGCAGCATTATAAGATGATTTCATTTTACATACCTATTAGTATACCTCTAAATGTGCCATTTTCCCAGAGTTTATCAGATGCTCCTTTTAAATACATTGATACAAATAGTCCTCTCAAGCAAACATATCTGTTCCCCTCCCAGCTACCATAACATCATTACCTGTAGTGAGACTGGCTTGTTTAATTCCTCAGTTTGTTGATAAAACCAGATACCTAGGATTGGGCGTTTAGTGTGTAGGATTTCAAGTTTTCACAGCAGTGGATATGAAGAGTCCTACTCTCTGGGACACAACACTGTGTAGTCCATTGAAAGTCACCCCATGGACTGCACAGCATTACACCCCAGAAGACAGGACTGTTCAGGGTTTAGTATTTTGTTATGTCAAGTAAAGCAATATAATTTATTTATCAAAGCAGTGAAATTGTCAACCTACCTAGTCAACACAGTTTTCTGTTACCTGCAGTTGGTTACAGATGTGTCCCTGTGCTGTGTGATCAACAAGAATAAAATAAATAATGAACATTTTCCTGTTCCAATTCCTCTTATAATCATGAAAGAAGGAACACATTCAATGGTGATGGCATCATGGCTTTGAGAATTTAAATATTGTGACATGTAGACCTGTTACTAGGCAATGACCATAAAACAGACGACTAGACAGCGGCCGTTACTAGCCAACGGCCCATAGACTGCAACAAAGTGTCAGTGTTTTCTGTACAGTCAATGCCAAGATGTTATAAGCAGGACAGTTAGTGAGAGTCAGTCAGTTGAGTTGAGTTGGTTGGTGAGATAGAGAATGGCTGAGGTTCAATTGTTGTGAGCTGTTGGTGTGAGAAACTGGTAGCTGAGGCCGGGGATAGATCAGGAACCTAGAGGAAGGGGAACGTCTGCCAATGGAAGCCGCTACCAAGTGACGGTTAGTGAAGATGTGACTGTGGACATGAGAGAGAGGAAGCGGGGGAGAGTTTGTGTGTGTGTGCATGCTTAAAATTTTGCATTGTGAATTGTAAAGCATAGTCACACACTGTATCAAAGAGTCCAGTAAATTCAGTCATCAATCCAAAACCCATATATTGTCACACTCATAATACACATGACAGTATCATCAGTATCACATTGTATTTTATGTTGATCAGGGAACATAAAGGAGGAATAAGGGAAGAAGCTTCTGTCGTGAAATGCAGAATGGGAAGAATGATGGAAGAGGCTTGTATTGTTTACATTAATATAATATTCTGCCGTTTGCATGGAGGAACTGAGAAAATCGCGAAATCCATTGTGAATATAAATGTACCACATTACTGCTGAACTAAATTGCTGGGTCCCTAGCCCATGCTCTCAGAGCATACTAGGGCTATATCACCCATTGTGTCAGTCCATGATGATCAAAACAGAGAGTCTTCAATTGGACACACACACTTTATCTTCACTCTAGTGATTGCCCGATGTATTTTCTCGATCTTGGGTCCTTTAGGGGTTCCTTGTACAAAACTGTCCCTGCTCTGCATTTTCCATGGGTTCCAGTATACAGTGGCTGGTTGCTGGTTGCTGCTTGCTGCTTTCTAGATCATAGTTCTAGTGTTCTGATATTCTCAATTGCGGCCTCTTCATTAGGGACTTCCCAAAGCTCCTCGGCAGCCTCTGCAACTTCTAAAAGTGACTCCCTCTTCTCCAAATAGGCCTTAGTCTCTTCTCACCAGGACTTCATCTCTTTAAGCTGGCGCTTACTGTGACTTTCATTTCCACGTGACCAGTCTTCGTTTAGTCTTTCATCTCTTCTTTGCTGGCCATAATTTCTTCTTCCATTTCCTTTAGATTTGCGTCATCTTGGCCAGAATTTCATGGTTTGTTTTCATTTCTGCCAGTATATGTTCCAGCTTCATGGTGTGGCAATACAAGTATCCACTACAATCTCCAACCCAGTTGGCTGATCAATCCAATCCCACCTCTGACACCAGCCATGTTGTGATAAGAGTGACTATAGGCGGGGTTTCAATTGGTAATCAAATTTATTGGATACTTTAACACAGAACTTGTGACTACACTTTACAAATCACTATCACACAAAGATTAGTGTTCTCAGTCATGGTCTTCACAGCTCTTCTTGGTAATGTCTTCCAATGGTGGACGTTCTCCTTCTTCTGGGTTCCTGAGCTGTTCCCAGCCTCAGCTACTGAAACTCTCAACTGACTGTCTGTCTGCAGACGTTTCTCGGCTCCGAATTTGGGCTCACTGTCTCTCTGACTCCCAGGCTGGAACCATCTCACACCAACCTCCTATTCTTCTAACTGCCTCTCAGGAGTTGTCAGTAATGGAAGCTGGTCGTCATTATATATGTAGCCTCGGCATGGTCTGCTCAGAGAGCATTGCTTCCAACAGCTCTTCTGTTGTTGCATTCATGTCTGTTGCAGCCATTGCCTAGCAATGGGCATGTTTACAGAGCCGCTCCATAGCAACGGCTGTCTGCTCGTTTCACGATTCTGGCTTTCAGCAGACAAGCCACAGTATTATCCAAAATTTTTCTCCAAACCTAACTCATCTAGCTTCCATCTGCTCCTTTCTTGCAGTTGTTACAATGTGACACATTACTTAATTTTACTTATCACCTGTATGTATATCATTGATTAAAAAATTCTGAAGCATCAATGTAACTATTGGGCAGACAAATTGTATTTTGTGTCTTTGTCCCATTTTATAGGTTGTGTGTGCTGGTGCATGCTACCGTCTTCGGAGATCACCCTCGATCTCCAGTATTTCTAGTGTATCTAGTACATCAAGTTTTTCAAGTGAAATTTCTCAGGATGTGGCTTGTGGAACTGCACCAGCCCTTCCACCTCAAAGCCCTGCACATCATGGGCTACGAGATGGTGCACTGTTCCCTGGATATGAAGTGGCTGGGATAGTTGAGTCATTAGGAACAGAAGTTGAAGACAATGAAGAGTTCAAAGTTGGAGATCGAGTGGTGTTGTACCCTTATGAAGGCGTTCCACATGGGTAAAGATTCCTTTCTGTGTTTTTTTATTAGTAGTGGAATGTTTGAACTTTGCTGCAAAATCTTTTTGGGTATAGGTGCTTGTTGTTTTAGTTTATTAATTTGGTATGTGCTCATCTGCAAGGAAAAAAAATCTGGATGAAAATGTCTAGGTTACATGACATTAAAAAAATAGAACCATAAGAAATTAAACTTTATTTGCAATTTAATTTTAGGATAAGCACAGCATATTCTGCAAGAAACATTTGTTGTCAAATAGCAACAATATTATATGCTAAATTTGTCTTTACAAACCTCTAAAGTTTACTGTCTCTTCTGAATTGCCCAGTTCGTTTGTTTATAGTTCTTTCAGTTAAAAATGGCTTGTAACAAACAGGTTTCCCATATTCATATTTTCAGTATGCTGTTCATTTCAGTGGACTGTTTTCTAGTACTTAATTTTATTTCCTAATATTGCTTCCACAAATTAATATGATTTTATATTCAGTGCAGCAAATGGGCCAGCATACTGAAGAGCTAATTTTTTGACCTGTATATGAAATAGCTTCAGTGTAAGTTCATCTTTTATGGCCGACTTTTCAATATTTAAAAGGAAAAAGTGACATATCATTAGAGTCTGTCTTTATATGTGTATCTGTGTTCCGTCATTTTGGCTTTTGAACCATTTAATCGATTTTGAATGTCATGCCATTGGATGCCAACCCAGTGCTGTACTTTAAAAGTTCCTACAGCCAACAATAACATTACAATTAATATGTTGTTGGACATTATCCATCATCTTGTCTGCTCTTAAAAAACCACCCTGTTTCTTTAAAAAAAAAATAGTTTCGGGGACTGGATTCTGTCCCCGTCTTCAGGTAAAACCTACTCAGTTGGGTCCAATAGACAGAGCTAGGTCCTATCTCCCTGAAACGTTGTGTTTTTGTAAAAGAAACATGACTGTTTTTTAAGAGCTGACAAGATGATGGATAATGTCCAACAACATATTAATTGTAACAGTTAACCATCATCACAGTAATAACATGTTGAACACATGAACTTGTGTTTGACTAACCCAAGCATTGATGCTACTGATTAAAATGACCTGATATGATGTGTGATAATAGATCATTTGATTTGATGGCAATAACTAATAAACCATTGGAGTTAAGTATGAAGAATGTGATGTGGAGCTAGATCATAAACTTACGTACATATGATATTTGTAAATATTGTTTTGAAGTTAACACTTGAAAACATGGAGATGGTTCAAAACTTTGAGACTATATCTGACAGTTTTAACACATGAAAAATATGTGAGTAATAAATTCTTCAGAAAAATAAAATAATAATGATAACAGGGATAATAGATTAATGGGACTACAAATCTATGTGGTAGGTGATTAAGGTTTGTAAGTCATGCTTGTTTTAATTTAATTTGTTCCTTCATCACCTACTGAGCATGCACATATTATGATAACATGAATTTCAGTACGATCATGACTTCATGTTTTCCAAAGTATGTGAAACTTTCAAGAGAATGTAGGTAATTAAATCAACTACTATTAAACCCCTGAATTCGTCCATTAAGACTAGCATACTCTGTATATAGTTAAATTTGGAAGAAGAACTGGTAATTTCAGAATAGAGGACAGTTGATTTAAACTTCCAGTAAGCAAATGAGAGTAACACTTTTATCAAACCAACAGTCAGTATAAATCAAACATTGCCTACTTCTGATGGTATTTCAATAGCTGCCCCAACTCATGTTACTTATTGTCTTCTAGGTATGCAGAGTTCATCATTGTTCCAGAATTGCAGTACCTGGTGAAAATCCCTGACACAATATCACTGAGTGTTGCTGCCATGTTGCCCACTGGTGCCCTTCTTGCCATGAACACAGTCTTCAAAGCACATGAATATGTTGAGAACATTCTGCGAGAGCGAGGAGATAATGGTTGGTTTATGTAGAAAGTCTAAATGCAGTGGGCTATTTTGTTACTTTACTTCCATTCTAGTCAAGTGATTGTATACATTTAATATATTTTTGTGGCAATCAGTTGCCTTTCTTGTGCTCCTAAAATGTATATTTAGTTAGGCATCATATAGGGTAGATCCTTATCCATCCGACTTGAGTCTCCTGAGTGTGTTTCAGATTTGTACCTGAAGACTCATGTTAGAGTGATATCATTGAATACACACCAATGACTCACATTTTTATAGTACAAACTTCTCTATCACTAAGGTAATGAAAGCAGAAAAGATATTGCATTTACTCATGAATTTTCCATTATTTATTTAGCTGTTTATCAAGATTGGTGAAAATATGGGGAAATCATTTTACACAATTTTAAAATAATGGCACCAGAACTGAAAAGATATTTTTATAGACGATAACAAAGAACTTTGTCAGTTTCAAAGAAAAAGTTGTTCTGTCTTATTCTACAATAATATGTGAATTTATTTTATTCTTCAATAAAAGTAAGGAATTTTTAAAAATTTGCATGAACATGCAGCTGGCATATCAGTCACTTGAAGTTAGATGACCCCATCTCAAATTTTGAGGAAGAAATTGCAGAAGTAAAAATGGTAATCCAGTGCATTAGTGACTTACACTACTGACACTACACTTACAGAGACTTGTAAGTCATTCTTTTCACATTCACAGAAAAAGACAGGTACCAAAAATTTTAGTTATGCTCTATCCAGGCATTCAGAATTTTCATGCAACTGACAGATATCAAAGAAATGTAACAATGTTCTGAAGTTACTTAAAGCAACGTTGCTATGTCCATGCATTTACAGTATGCAGTATACAGTACATTTCAGTACTGAAACTCGCATGTCTTGATGGTGCATGTGTGTTTGTCGACGGGGCATAGCTCCAGCCACACTTGTTCCCAGTAGTGAAAAGGAAGTTGTTTTGTGCAGTTGTTGGAAATGTATCTCTCAACGGAGGAAAAAGTATTCATAGTTTAGTATTATTTCCGCTCGTATGGAAGTGGTCACCAGACACCTCGTTTCCTTAGTTTTGAGCGGCCAGATGTTATCGTCCAGAAACCGCTACATAGTACATGTGTGACAATATGGTGTGCCGTCTCAGCACACGGTATATTAGGCCCCTATTTCATTGAGGATGAGGAAGGCGATGCTCTTACCGTCACCCAAGAACGCTACAGGGACATGGCGATCAGACCATTTCTTCAGGATTTGAGAAGGTCCTGTCATGCAAGGGGCCTTCACATGAATAGACAGTGGTATCAATAGGATGTCTTTTCATTTCAGTACTATATCTTTTGGCACTTACTGTACTTGTCACATTGTAGTTCTCCCAGCTATCAGTAGTGGCGCTGTCCATCAGCCTCCCACATGCAGGTGCCGTTATTATCATGTGATTTGTGATTAAAATAGATACCATATGAGCTTGCAAACCCATTACAGTGTATCTGAAATGTTTCCCTCATCAATCCATGAATCTGTCAGCATTGATTTTCACCCACTGTTACTCTTCACTGATGTTTTCTTCTCATGATTCGTGTACGCTGACATAACCTTAGAAACTGCCGCTCTCTGTACACCTAATAATGTGGAAGTTTTTGTCACAGATGCTCCAGCTAAACATGTACCACCAATCTGTTCTCTTTCAAAATCAGACAAGTCTCCCATTTTCCAATTCTGTTACACAGAATGTCACTCAGCACGATCAATAATCCACTGACACAAGCACTACAGAGTATAAACAAATGGAAGAAAAACATTCAGTGTTGCCAGCTGAAGTTCTTTCAATGTAGCCAATACAAATTCTGTTCCTTAATTTCTAAGTGTTCTTATTATTCTGCTCACCCCCTGTATTTGTTACATTTTGTTTTGTCACAGGTTCATGTAAGATCCTCATTGTTGGCACTGGTGGCTTAGCATTGTGGGCCTTGCGCATTGCTGGTCACCATTATCAGAACATGAAGAATCGGGTGTCTATCACTGTTGCTTCACTCAAAGATGAAGGTTTCCTTTTAGCCCGGGAGTATGAGAAGTAAGTCTCTACATAAAATGTAAGCAAAGATAAAATTATCCCTATATTTAATTAAATACCACCACATGAAGAGTGGAGGTATAACTATACACATTCTTAACCTTGGCACTAGGATGAGGTGAGTGGTTTGTGTCACACCCTGGCCACTTTACAGCCTGTGTAAAAGTACACAGTACCCACTGGGTGAGAGGTTTAGTGGGCCTAAGAGCCTGTTTGGATGCTGTGGAGAAGAGGGAATGTTCTTTCACCCACCCGAAATCAAACACTGATTTCTCAGCTGTACAGCCTGTAGCATAGTCAGTCTAGTAACTAAGCCATCCTGGTTTCCCTAAATGTGAGTATATGTGGGGAAAGTGCTACCAGTCTTCTCTTCTTAAAAACTGCAGTACATTAATCACAAAAATACCTCTCAGATGTGAAGTCTCAATCTTGAACGTCATCAAATCATTTATTTAGCTTCGAGTCCTCTATAAATTAGAAACTTGCAGACAACTGGAAAAATTCCCCCCATCCCTTTTTTAGGCATAATTTACAGGAAAATGACAGATTTGTTTGTATGCACGTAAGAGGCACATTCTCTACTACATTTTTATTTTTCAAATTTGGTTATCACCTTCATGAAATTAAATGACCCATATAAGTTGGTTGAATATGATTAGAGAAAGAATCACGGATTAGAGTGATGGATAAGAGATCTACAAGTTTCTTATTAGTTCACATTAATGACCACTGAGACAAGTGAAACACCTTACAACTTCCCATAAATGAAATAAAAATGCTGTACATGGAAGGTTAACTGTTTCACTTAGCATTCAGTAAAATTGATCACTGTATCTCCTCCTCCAGGATGTTTGAGACTAAACAATGCTCCTATTTCTCATGTGATTCACGTGGTGATGACACTGTACTGCCTGTTCTGAAGACACTGAACTGGCAGTAAAGCCTTCGGTAAATCCAGTTGTCAGTCCAAACCCCATGTCTTTGTCACTAACACATGACATTGTAATAAATTTTATAGCTACTGTTAGAAGCGACTGGAATCTATGCCATATATCAGAACTAATTAAACTAAGCAACTAATTCAGGCCTCATCAATATCTGTGATGAATGATGATGTACGTGTAAGGTATGATGGGAGATAAAATAAACATTAATAGTATTTGTGTTAACATTCATTTGTGTGTTCATAAATAGTGTGGTTGGAAAATGCTGAGGTTTACCAAATAGGAAAACATACCAGATGAAGGATTTTGGTCTTAGCAGGAAAATTATTGCATGCAGTTCTACAGTTAATTCTGAGGTAGAAAGAGTCAACTTTGAAATTATAGTAAATTTTTATTTTATTTGGCGGGAAGGTGGGGGGGGGTGGTGGCAGAATTTCCTATATTGACCCAACCCTGTACTTTTGTAGATATGTTTATGTTTTGGGGCCAGTTGGACTTTATAAATATTGATAGGAGGGTAATTCAATAAGTAAGTTACAAATGGATATAGAACTTAAACAAATAATTTGAAAAATGCTTATATTTCTCAGCATAATCTCCCTGTACATTGAGGCACTTGTCCCATCATTTCACAAGCTCCTGAAAACCAGCAGCATAAAATTCTTTGGGCTCCTATCGGAACCAGGTGGTGACTTCCCTTTCTATGGCTTCATCATCGGGAAAATGTTCAGCCAAAAGATGATGTTTACATAAATACCGACTCCTACTGTAACATTCACGGGAAACTTCGTAAGGCCATTCTGCTACACTATATACAGTTAGTGTGTGATTTTCACAGATAACGTCTTTCACCTGGGCAGTCAAAAATTATTTCTCAAAGTTTAAAGTTTGCATGATGTCATTATCTGGAGTTCTTTTGCTTTTGAAAAATGTGTGTCATTCATAGGTTATAGTTTTATTCAAAACCTCGTTGCCATAAGCTTCACAGAACATTCTATGGATTTTCACAACTGTTCTGCCCTGTTTGATAAAATCTTTCGCACAAGTTTTTTGCTCCATTATGGATGCCATATCACAACATGACAGTACCAAACCCACACAATTATGCCAATGGTTAAAACACTACAGAATGTCACCCACAATGTTTGGAACAAATTTCTAAATGTAGGTTACAGTCACAGCTATCAGCCATTCCATGCATATCCATGTGTGCATGACTGGTGCTACTCCATATGGTCATTGCAGGAGCTTTTTGAGCTGACTATGCATACCATCAAGAACCTATTCTATAAATAATTTGCATAATGTCACTTTCCCCTGCTTTGATTATTATAGGTAGTGAGAATTTAGGGAGATTTCACACAAGCAGACCAATAACTCATTTGATTATATTTTATTAACATTTGCCTTTTTATTAAGGGTCAATGTGGTCCAGTGGAATGAAGACTTGTATGAAAAACAACTTATTGAGCGCACAAAGGATGCTTGTCAAGGAACTGTTGACATTGTCATTGACTTTGGAACCACATCTCGAAGTCTGCATCGATCTCTTCAGTGCCTGAGTAGGGTACGCATATAGTTCATTAAAAATTTCATATCCATCTTCCTGTTAAGTCTAAACTAGTGATATGAGCTGATATATTCCTATTTTTAGGGTGGTGTTGTATTTATCAGCTCTGAAGTTGCTGAGAAATTGCTTCCAAAATTCAGTCGAAGAGCAGAAGAACGCCAGCAGTGTATCAAGCCTGTTGACATGGGCTCCATTGAACAGCTACGACAATTGGTTGAGCTAGTGGGAACAGGAGAGGTACTGGAAATATGTTTATCTGCATGCAGTATCACATGCATGGAAGTGATATAGAGTCAAAGTAAAGTTTCTGAAGGTATATAAATTAACAAGACAAAGTTCCTGTTGCATGTTTTATATGTATGTTTGATATTGTATATATGAGAGAAAAACTAAATTCAAGTCCAAGTGAATACTTCTGATTGTTGAAACTGATTACACTGCATGTCAGTATGACTCCAATATTTCAAAGTAGAAAGGGAAGAGGAAGTTTGTCAGATGAAACACTATTAAATTGTTGGAAGCAACAGATTCCTCTGAAATGTGAATACCTACCTATCAAATTACATGGCATCACATACCAGGAGACCATAATTTTGATACACGTATGTTGTGAGAACCTCAACACTCTCTCTCACACTAATTCTTGATAAAACGCAGTAGTATATATAAATGAAACTAAAAAACTGGACCATAAATATGTAAGAACAATACAGGGAGATCGAGAAGCCGCACACATCACACTAAGCCATTATATTTTGCTGGTTTAATGCACATACTACACAACATACAGCACTTACTATTAATGTTTATAACCTTCTATCTTAGAAATGCAAAATCAAATCATGTCTTTACAATATATGCTTGAAATGGTTTCCCTGTTCAGCAATGCATGCACGATCTCTTTTAACCATGTCTGAGGCCACTTTGTGGAGCACCTGTAAACTGATGCTATTAATCGCCGTCATAATGTTCCTCTTGAGGTCATCCAGTGTATGTGTTGTTTTTAAAGACCATTCCTTTGAGGTACCTCCAAAGGAAAAAATTTGCAGGTGACAAATTGGGCGAATGCAGGGGTCACAATCCTTTCGAAATGAGACGGTCACCAAAAAACTCACGCTAGAACTTCATGGTTTCATTAGATGTGTGACATGTGGCACTGTCTTGCTGCAACCAACATTCATGTTCATCAACTTCAAGAAGCACAATAAACTGTGTAATGATGTCTTGGTACACTGGACTGTTCACTGTTGTTTCAAATAAAACTGGACCCACTATTCGACGATGTGATATAACATGCCACACTCCAATTTTCTGACAGTGCAAGGGCTTTTCATGTAACACATGTGGATTTTCAGATGAGCAAATCCTATTGTTTTGACTGTTCATGTAGCCACTAAGGCAAAACCATGCTTCGTCAGTGAAGAAAACCCAATCAAACTCTTCAATTCTATGGTTGCCAACAAATGCCCAGAACCATCTACAGTACACTAAGCGTTTTTCTTTATCCAGGTCCTTCAGTTCCTGCACACAGCTAACACGATATGCACGAAGGTGTAACTTCTTCATCGCGTTCTGAGCACTTCGATACAAAATCCCTGATTGTGCTGATAGTCTCTTCAGGCTTTTTGAAGGGGAACACTTTAACATTTTCTCCACATCAGCCAGTTTAGCCTCAGTCAAAATGGCCAGTCTCCCAGATCTCTTCCTATCTGAAACTGATCCACATACCCGAAATCGGTTGATTATTCTCATTATCGTTGAATTGTTAGAACTCCAGAATCTGGATATTCCTGACGAAACTCATCTGCGACATGTGCATAAGAATGACTGGCAAAATGATGTTCCACAATGAGAACTCGTTCTTGGAAAACAACATGTCTGTCACACAAAAACAAAGCTATACTGCAGACGTTCTATGACTGATACATGACAGATGGCATTCAACTCATTGTTAGTACTCCTACAGTACCATCTGGCAGTAGGAGATTAACTGCAATACAATTTATAACAACTTTTAGTTTGATGTGCGCGACTTTTCAGTCTCCCTGTATATAGATGTTAAACTGGAATATGGATCAATATATTATCTTATTGCACATATTTAGAAATAGATTCACGTTTCATGCATACAAAACATAAAGGTTAAAAACTAATACACCACATACTTGCAATTTCCAGTGCAAAGAATGGTTCTTCCTTTCTTCACAATTTCTTTCTTGTGTGTGTAGCTTGATACTGGAAAATCGAATTCTCAAATCTGGCCTTGCATTTAGTCTGTTTAGAACACAAGAAAGGAGAATGCCATGACACAAATACATCATTTTAAAAAATGTAAAATAATTTTATATATTTAATTTTGACAGGTATCAGAATTGGTTTAAATGGTAAACTTTTCAGATGTACAGCTATCAGAAAGTTCCCAGACTGTTACTGTTGTAACTGCCTCAGTGAAAGATGAGAGGCAAGGCCAAGGTCACACTTCTGCAAGCCTACTGTATCAGTCTGCCACATGACACCACACTGTGAACATACATTGTTTTTACACGAGTGCTTTTTCACTTCATGTTTTGTTTTGTTTGCAATGGATGGCAAAATCAAGCAACATGCCTGTGTCAAGTTTTATGTGAAGCTAGCAAATCTGCTACCAAAACCCTTGCAATGCTTTGTGAGGCTTTTGGAGAACATTCTTTAAGTCAGCAGTTTTGAATGACATTCACGTTACAGGGCCAGTCGAGTGTCAGTTGAAGATGACAAATATTCAGGGCGACCAAGCACCAGCAAAACAACAGAAAATGATTAAGAAATGTGAGAACTCGTCCACAAAGACTATCACTGAACAATCCATGAGCACACACTGTTGGGATCAGTTATGGAGTTTAATTAACAGAAAATTTGAACACGTGCCACATTGCCATGAAGTTTGTTCCCCGACTCTTGACAAACAATCAAAAGCAGCAGCGCATAAACGTGTGCCTTGAGCTACAATAGAAGGCTAACAAGGACCCATCTTTTATCTCTAGGATCATAACAGGTGACAAAAGTTGGATTTATGGTTATGATCCAGAAATAAAGCAACAGTCATTTCAGTGGAAGAGCCCACAATCACCAAGAGCAAACAAGGAACAGCAGCTCCAAAGTTCAACAAACAGCATGCTCATTATTTTATGCAATGTGAAGGGGATTGTTAACATGAATTTGTTCCTCCTAATACTATGGTCAACTTTGACTTCTACTGTGATATTTTGAGATGCTTGAGAGAATATGTGCTACGAAAAAGACAAGAAGTTTGGGTGCAACCACAACTGGCTCCTTCATTACAACAACGTGCCCGCCCACAGATCCCTGAAAACCATAAGAATTTGTGACTAACAGCAACATTGTTATTGTTCCCCATCCTCCCTTCTCTCTAGACTTAACCCCCTGTGATTTTGCTTTGTTTCCCAAATTGAAAATGAAACTGAATGGACAACATTTTGAAACAGTGTTTGACATCCAAAGGGAATTGCAAGCAGTACTGTACAACATTAAGGAAAATGACTTCCACAGTGCTCTTGAAGCATAGAAAAAACAATGGGATCAGGTATATGCTCCAAAGGAGACTATTTTGAAGGAGATGGCAGCCAAAATTGAGTAAGTTAAGCTAGCATTCCTTTTTTGACTTAGTCCCGGAACTTTCTGATAGCACCTTGTAATACAGTATAACAGTTTATGCAAATCATCGTGTATGCCTGACAATGGCCCTGTGTGTGTGTGTGTGTTTGTGTGCATGCGCGTACATGCATGCATGTGCTTTCTTTCAGCAGTGTCCTCTATTTTTTTTCCAGATTGAACCTCCACCACATTGTGTGTTCCCAGCTGAAGAAGCTTGCGAAGTTGTGAAGAAACTTTGTCAGTCGGAAATAGCAGGCAGGGCAATCCTCAGATTCCATTCAGTAAATTAAAACACCTCCATGTTCCAGATTTTAATTTCAGGATTAAGTCTGCAACATGCTGAATCATGGCAACATGCCAGTTGAAGAATAGTTTCATCTAAGTTTGGTGAAGAGCCAGGCTGTGTTGTGGAAGCATCCTATTACATAGCATTCTTTGCCACAAAGACCAGGTATTGCAGGGAATGCATTTTGGTCCAGTATTCAAATGTTAGTAAATAGGCTTTGATGTCCTCATTAACCACTGATGAACAATTAAGATTTGTTTTAAAAGCAGGGTTTATATTATGAAGAAACACTTTTGATACAACTTTTAGAAGCTGTGAAGCATCGAGTTTGGAGGTCTTGTTTTATTAACCACTCAGCACGGTTTGACATGTATGTTTCATCAAGGGATTTAAATGGTTCGCGGGGGTTCGACGACTATGTATCGTCCAGCTGCACACCTATGTTATAACGCCCATAATAATTGATGGTTTTGCTGTAGATTGTTAGATTTTTCGCTGGCCTGTTGTCAGAAGAACAATATATATATGAAACATAAGTTTAGCTGCGGTGCGTTATCGTTACCTATGCCTGTCTTGCAGCAAAAGCGTGTTTCTTCGAGAAGAGATTTCATCATTCAAACTGTTATGAATGGCGTGTTTTCTTTCGTATGAAGTTATAAACAGCGGAGACGTATTATGTGCTGTGTGAATAATATCATATTGCCCTGAGCAGGCCACATCAACCCACTTAATTAGAATTCTTAGAAGAGGGGTGTCCAGAAATTTGTTCTTGCAAGATCGATTGATTTCGCACAGTACATAGCAGCCAGTTCTTAGAATAACATCACGAATTAAAGGCAGAACACTGTGGTCACCCGCTGTGACGATACGGGGGGAAAAAAGAACTAATTCCTTCATGTATTATCGCTCCAGTTGACTCCATTTTATCGTACTGACCTTGGTGGTCGAGTCGAGGGATGCCCAGAAATTTTGTCCTGAAAGCTAAGCTGCTTTCGTGAACTACATACCAGCCAGTTCTTAGAATAACTTCATGAATTCTATGGTCACCCCTATGACATCTGCTGCAGCCAAAATGGATGGAATATGAAACGCATAGCACCAACCCCTTGTTATGATAACATAAAGGTTGAATTTACTGCAGCTGAGCTGTCAAGCTAAAGACGCGTGTCTTCATAATTTCCATACACCAGGCCACCAACAGTTTACTTCAAAACTTTGAGTCCTATCATGGCTGGCCCTTCCACAAGTCGTGCGCTGACGGAGGTCGAACAAGTGACCGTGCTGAACGAAGTATTGGATGACGAAACCCTAAGTAATTATAGTTCCGATGATGACAGTGCATCGGACTATGATTACACACAACTGGTGCCACCTGAAACCATCAGTGCTAGTGAAAGGGACAGTGAGCCTGAGGATATCGTGGCCCACGATGAATTGGAAGAGGTGCCCAGGAGATTTGTGTGGGAAGATATCGATTCATTTCACGCTTCGCGAGAATTGTTTTGTGGTGTGTGTGGTCCCCAGTTCGACACTGCCGAACTAGATGTCATCAGTGTTTTCAGTTCGACACTGCTGAACTAGATGTCATCAGTGTTTTTGAAAGCATTTTCGATATTTCCCTTGTGCAGCTGATTGTTGATGAAACGAACAGGTATGCTCAACAGGAAATATCGAAAATCGCCAGACCTCTCACATTTCGCTCTAGGATTCGGAAGTGGGAAGATGTGACAGTGGACGAAATGTACGTGGTTTTGGCACTAATTATGTTGACTGGCATTGATCAGAGGCCTACATTGAGGTCTTATTACTCAAAGAACCGCCTGCTGTTCACTCCGTTTTTTGCAGAGACCTTACCTCTGGAAAGACTTGAGGTCATAATGAGATTTCTGCATTTTTCGGACAACAGCAAGCAAAATGAGTACCAAGGCCCTTCCAAACTTTTCAAAATTTATCCCGTCATTCAGCACCTGAGTAGAAAATTTCAGATTCTCTATCTTCCAGGTCACAACATTGCCATAGATGAATCCTTGACCCTATGGAAAGGTCGTCTGTCTTTCAAGCAGTACTTGCCACTCAAGGCTGCGAAATTTGGTATCAAAACGTTTGAACTCTGCGAGTCTAGTTCTGGTTATGTTTGGTCCTTTCTTGTCTATACTGGACAAGGAATGGAACTAACAAATCAGTATGTGACTGCAGAGACAAACAAAACTACAGCAATTGTAATAACACTGTTAGAAAATCTTCTGGGTCGCGGACACACAGTGTGGATGGATAATTTTTATAACTCCCCTGATTTGGCTCGTTTCTTGAAGTCTAAAACTACAGACTGTGTTGGAACCTTACGTCCCAACAGGAAAAACGTTCCTCCATTAGTGAAAAATAAGAAATTGAAAAAAAGGTGAACACTGTGCTCAGCACTCAGGAGACGTGGCAAGACAAAAAAAGGGTGACCATGATATCCACATACCATAAAAACGATATGCGTGTGGTTGTTAATCGTGCAAACAAGACAGAAATAAAGCCTGTGGTTGTTTGCGATTACAACAAAAACATGCTCGGGGTGGATCTGAAAGACCAGATGCTACAACCGTACCTGCTTGAACGAAAGAAGGGTACCAAGTGGTACCTAAAATTGTTCAGGCGGTTACTCAATGTAGCAATCCACAACAGTATGGTAATCTATCGGTCCCACACAAACAAACGAAACCTGGACACTACAGTTCAGACTTTCCCTAGTGCAAGGGCTCGTGGAAAAGCACGGTTCTGGGGTACGTCATCCTGTACACGGCCGTCCATCAGTTCAGCCGCCGCCTAAACGACTCACGGAAAGACATTTCCTTGAGTGTATTCCCCCCACGGAGAAGAAGGCAAGACCGCACAGAATATGTGTGGTTTGCGGAAAAAAAGGGCCAAAGGAAAGATACGAAGTATTGGTGTGGTGAATGTGAGGCAGCATTGTGTTTAGAAGAATGCTTCAAGGCATACCATACACTGCTCAACTTCTAAACCACCTGCTTCCATTGCCGAGATACCGGGCGCTCATATTATAAGGTAAGATTATAAATCCATCTTTTAAGATCATTTTAGTGAAAGATTCATGTTCCTATCTCATATAATTTAAGAATAATGATGAATAAATCATTTTCGAGCAAAATTTAAATGGTCGGCTGAAAATATTACTGCCGGAGAGACACAGCAGCTGAATTTAAATGACCGCGCTGAAGGGTTAAGTTGTCTCTTTCTGAAGCTTTGAGCCAAGCACTTATGCATAGTCTTAAGAAATCCAACAGACATCTTCAAATGTTGATACTGTAATTATGTTTTAACTGATATAGACACAAAATATGCTACATACAAATCTTGTATTGGTCTTTACCACAGTGGTTCATCAGTTATCATAATGATTTCGTTGTCAGAGTTTATACTGCTGAATTATGATTACAAAACCCAAATGATCTAATTCAGAAGTTGTTGCAAGACAACCTCTGAACCGCATGGTGTTCAGTAATAAAGAGCATTATGAGGACAGTGGATGTAACTGCATTATGTGCTGTTTCATCACACTGCTAGACACTGTTCTCACGGGTGTGATGCTGTTGAATAATGCTGCGGTAGATGTGTCAGTTTCTTAATTTCTGTTATGCTCTTACTGGAGTAGACGTTTTACATATACTACAAATGTGGCTGTCTGTACAACAGTAATATCTGTGATCGTAAACTGAGACAAATCAGTACTAATATATCACCATTCATTTATTGTGCAAAGGTGTTTCGCTACATGTTTCAACCTTCAAGAGGTCATCATCAAGTGTACTTACAAGAATTCAGTCTTAGTTCTTGAATTTATTTTAATATGGATCCATATTATTACAATTTATTTTATTTTTGATAATGAATACTACCATATTGTTAAATATACTAATAAATACACACTAAAGTTTTGCGTTTGTTTGGATATTAAGACTGATAACTTTTTATATAGTTTTGATTTTAAAAATGTTTTCAGATTTCCCAGTTAACTACTTGGGTTACACTTGAGATATAGAGTTGGTTCGAAGATAAGCTTAAAATTAGGAGTAGTTTTTTTGGATCATCAGGTTTTGCTATAGTCATAAGTAGCAAGTCGATGCAAAGTGAGGGGGCCCTTCTCAGAATCTTCGTAGTGTTGATTTACTTCTTTCGTCGGTTTTGGGTTGCTCAGCAGTTTTCTGTCTTGTGTCATTCTCAATTAGTTTTGTTCTCATAAGTAGAGAGTTTAATGCTTATATGTATGTGTATGCAAAGGAATCCCTGTTGTTGTTTTTTTGTTTGCATTGCGGCTCTGCTTAGACTTGCACTGGGTCAACCTGCCACCTAACAACTTAATAACTATGACTCAGTTCAATTGAAGAACTAAGACTGATTCTTGTAAGTACACCTGATGATGATCTCTTGAAAGTCGAAACCACCTTTGCACAATAAAGGCATAGTGATACATTAGTATTGATTTGTCTTTGCTTACATTCATAGATAATGTTACATGTACACCCATTGCTCGACAATGGGTTGGTAAACAAGTTACCGTGAAGACAGGTTCTTGGTAAACAGTCTATTGCTAGGTTATGCAACAATTTTGACAGCAGAAGAAGATTTTTCAGTGTGGTCCATGCCATACCCAGTGCTAAGCAACAGAAATGTAAACATGTCTACAATAATAGGTGTTTTCTGTGGAGTCCATGCCAGAGGTTTAGAGGGGAGAGTGAAGGTCATTTGCAGTCAGTCATAGCTAAAAGCCTTGAGTCAAGGACATGAAGCTGTCACAGAAAGGAGTTGTGAGGATTCAGCTGTGTAGTGTTAACAGCCTTGAAGACTTTATATGCTATAGTTACAGTAATCTTAAGAGTGTAAGAACTAATTGTAGTTATGACTAGTGAAGATCCAGTAAACTGATCTACCAATCCAAAGCTGCATCTTAGTCACTGCTACATGTGACAATATTATTGTTATGTAGATGGCCCCATTTGTAATATCATGACACACAAATAGCATGCATACCATAAAGATTTTACATATATTTAGGGTTGCCAGTATTGCTCTCACCTCAAGAGATTTTATGGCTCCATTCTGTAGAAATTTATGTCTAATATCATAAAATTCCCATAAAATTAAAGAAACAGATCAGACTGGCAAACAGACAGCATGCTTTAATACGGAAAACCTAATAAATCCATGTGAATCTCATAGTCAGTTATTTTATAGTTTAAAATTAAGTGTTTTTAACTTTCTCTCATTCTCTTCAGTGTTACTATAGTGAAAGATCTAAATAAGCTGTTATACTCAACATATATAGATTCACTGTATTATTATAGATCATGTAAATGAATATACCGTAATAAAAGTATTCTGTGGAAGGCAGCTATTTATGCCATGTATTGCAATGGTTAGTATTATAACAGTGGAAGGTGAGATGTATGAGAAACTATCTTTTCATGTATATGTACAGTGTTCTGTTACAAAACTTCCACATTGTAGTTTTCACTATGCACTCCTTTCTATATGGTGCATGCAATAATAATCAGGGATATGTGAACTTCGAAATGTTGAATTCTGAGTAGCCTATTTAAGTTGGAAGAGAAGGTTGGAAAAATGTAAATATCCCATGTTTTTATCGATATTAAAGTGAACTTCTAAATTGTATACAATGCATATGTGCCAAGTGTTTAACCTTTAAACGCCAGACTTCTGAAATGGTGGTAAGCTTGACCTGGCCGGAGTTTATTTAAATGCCCATTGCTACTCTGCGTTTAAATGTCCGTTCCTGTTAGGGCGCTTAAATAATTTTAAGCATTGTGTTTAAAAATGTTGTATCTAACTCAATTTTTATGATAAATGAATGGAATTAACTTTGTCTGTATTAGCAAAAAACATTGTGTCGCATATTATAACGGAAGATTTGAAAATTTTTATACAAAGAGTTATACTCTATTTTCAGTTTTCTTCTTTTAATTTTGATGTATACTGAAAAAATGGTTTCCCAGTTCTTCACAGAGATGTTCTGCATTATAAAGTCATTTCTGTTTGTAACACTGGACAAATTTTAGCAGTCCCTGGTGTCATAAAACAGATTGAAGCAATAAAATAATTTGGTCTTCCGCTAGCACTGCTTACACTCTTCGGATTTTCGAATTTTTTGACTAAAGGACAGAAGAATGAAAGAATGGCTATTCAAGAGAAAGCTAGAAGGCTCCCTTCTTCAGTGCTAAGACCTTCCATTATAGCTGCAAGAGAATATTGCCCTTTCTAGGATCGTGAACAGACAGTCGCATCATGGCTGAGATACAGAGTGTGATCTGTTTTCTGTGCGTTCATAGTGAAATCGAATACTGTAGTTTCATTTCAGCCTATATATATATATATCAAGTAGATAAAAAGAAAAGGTATGTACATAGAATTTTACTATATATTTTAACACATTAATCTGCAGAATCTGCAATAAAAGTACCGGCTCGTGGATGAGTGTGGGCATAACTCATACGTATATTCTTTCTTGCTGTTGTTCACTTAGGTATCATTTTAATTCCTCTATTATGATTTTATTCAAGTCTGTCTGGTAATTACTACATTTAAAAATAAATGTTAAAAAACTGCATGCACTTCTACTAGCAGCATGTGCGTGCGTTTCCACTAGTGGAGTTTAAATGCCCAACCAGCCAAAACGGGGTACTTTGGCCATGACGACCATACTCATCACTGGCCCGATCGGGGCACTTCAGACATTAAAGGTTAATCAAAACCTTTTTGTCTACCATTTATGAATGTAGTTACTAAGTAATATATCTTGAACTTTGATTCATGATGTATTATTGGAATGTAAATAAGTAAAGTTACACAGGGGAAGGGGAAGGGGGCTAAAAATTGAATCACTGAAGGCTTAAATGCAGGACTTTCATCCTATCCAGAGTGTGCCCCTTTGACATTTCCAAAACTACATTCTAGTACAGGTAAGTATTTCTCGATCATGCCTCAATTTGGAAATAAAGTGTTCCACTTTCACAGATAAAGTGCATGTTACTAACAGTCACCAGCTGCTTCACTTACAGCAAAATAGTTATTGAAATTTATCCTAGAATACAAGCTTTCAGTAGGCTACATTTTACTAAGTATCTCAATGTAGTTTTCCTGTTGTACTTGAAATACAAACTCTACTTTCAGAAGAGCAATGCTTCACACTGTCACTAAGATAAAAAAAAAAATGGTTTCACTTTTCAGTTCATATTATTGAATTGCCCAGTGCTGATAACTGTTTCATATAAATATAATGTTTGATACTGTTGACTTATAATATATA